CCTGATAAATGGGGAGAAAAATGTACATATATATCTATATATATCTATATCTATCTATATATATATAATTATTACTATTATTTTTTACAGAGAGGAAGGGAGAGGGATAGAGAGTTAGAAACATCGATGAGAGAGAAACATCGATCAGCTGTCTCTTGCACATCCCCTACTGGGGATGTGCCCGCAACCAAGGTACATGCCCTTGACCAGAATCAAGCCTGGGACCCTTTAGTCCGGAGGCCGATGCTCAATCCACTGAGCCAAACCGGTTAGGGTTAAAAAATATATTTTGATTGATTTCACAGAGGGAGAGGGAGAGGCATAGAAACATCAATGATAAGAATCATTGATAAAAAATAAACCATTGGTCAGCTGCCTCCAACATGTCCCTCCTACTGGGCTCTGCTCTACTATTTTACTGACACTTTTTTTCTTTTAAACTGCTGGAGGTAGTTTGTCTTTGAATTAAAAAAATATTTCCCTTAAAGGACATCAATTAAGAAAGGCCTGTTCAAATGTAAAATGCTTTCTTTTACTCTAATTAGCCATTAACAAAAACATTCCGAAATCTTTGCTTTGTAGCACTTATGAAATGCTTGGGGACTCAGTATATATCCAAAAACCTGTCCCTAAAATTGGAGCTCTGACAGCAGAAGTTAATTGAGGTGAAAAGCACTAAAGTAAATGGAGGACTCTTTTAAGTTTCTTGGTTCTATTTTGGCCAAAAACATAATTAGAATATGTAACTTCTAAATACAATTGTTGTTGTTTTTTTTCTTTGCATTTTCAGGTAATGTTTGAAACTTACCAGTTTTCTGGTGTGTATGTAGCCATCCAAGCTGTTCTGACTTTGTATGCTCAAGGTAGGTGAAGCTTAACTTTTAGAGTAATCAATTCAGCAGATATTTATTACGTTTTATGTCAAAGGAATTTGATTTTCAATAAGTTGTAAATCCCAGAAAAGCATAGCATTTACATATTTATTTATTTATTTTAAATATTTTCAGTTTTAAAAATTGTCAAATACATTTTATTTTCCTAAGTAAAAAAAGATTTCTCAATTTTTAAAAAAGTACTATGTTCCCTTTTTAGGGTATTTTGAAGTAAAAAATTTTTATGCAGTGGAGAATGAATATGGAATTTGGCTTCAGAATTGGTAGATTAAAAAAAAAAGCAGATCTAAAAACTTTAGTATAGCCCGGCTGGCATGGCTCAGTGGTTGAGCGTCAATCTATGAACCAGGAGGTCATGGGTTTGATTCCTAGTCAGGGCACATGCCCAGCTTGCAGGCTCGATCCCCAGTGTGAGGTGTGCAGGAGGTAACCTATCAATGATTCTCTCATCATTGATGTTTCTATCTTTCTATCCCTCTCCCTTCTTCTCTGAAATAAATAAAAATATATTAAAGTAAATAAATAAATAAAGATTAGTACAAAAGCATGCTTGTCAGATACATAATAAGTACAAAGAAGAAGGTAGACATTTGGGAATCCTTTCCTAACTTTTGAGATGTAGATTTAATGGAGGGGGCTACTATGTTTTCTTGGGACTGCCATTAGGACCTGCCTTCCTATCTATTGGGAATAAAATATTGGTTATGTCGTGGAGAATTCTTTATATTCTGATGGTCTCATTAAGGATTGTGGGGCTGTCAGATAGGTGCCACAGAGTCTGTGAGGCACTTGAAATATAAAATTCTAGTCTATCTTGGAAAAAGATATAGAAACAGATCATTTTAAATCAGCACACTAGAGAAAGTTTCTGAAGGAGGTGACACCTGAGCTAACTAAGTCTCAAGCCCTAGCACTTAAGCAGCAGTGTGTATGATCTAGGACAGTGATGGCGAACCTTTTGAGCTCAGCATTTCAGCATTTTGAAAAACCCTAATTTAACTCTGGTGCCGTGTCACATATAGAAATTTTTTGATATTTGCAACCATAGTAAAACAAAGACTTATATTTTTGATATTTATTTTATACTAGAGGCCTGGTGCACAAAAATTTGTGCACTCGGGAGGGCAGGGGGTCCCTCAGCCCGGCCTGTGCCCTCTCACAGTCTGGGACTCCTTGGGGGATGACCACCTGCTGGCTTAGGCCCACCCTCTGGGGGATTGGGCCTAAGCTGGCAATCAGACATCCCTCTGGCAGCCTGGGAGC